AAACTTCCTGGTACAGATGTTGATGTGCAAATGGTTTCGAGACGTATCCATCAATTCCACACTTTAGGAATTTTTCATTTGTAGCATGAATTAGATCAACAGTCATGGCAAGAATGGGCACATTCCAGGCCAGTTTGACGCATTTACTTGAAGTTCATTTGTAGCATGTTCGTTTTGACTATTAACTTGACGTTGAAGTTCACAGATTATATTCTTTTTGTAGCTTAGCTTGAAACCTGCATGATCAAATAGTAATTAACAGTTCTTTTATGAAAATGTATAATAGATTATAGATATATAAAAAAAAAAATTAACTGTATAAGCATATAAGTTCAAATAAAGAAATACAGCAATGCTAATACATAAATGGAAGCAGAAAAACAAAATAATGCAAAATAGGGGGAAATATCGAAAGGGGAACAGAAGATGAAAGAAGGAATTCTCTGTTACCCCACTGCATGTGTTTGACTGGAAAGAAAATTGATTCTTTATCACAAAGGTAACTTCCACCTTTATACATAAACGGTGATGGCAGTTGTAATTGAAAAAGGGAAAGATACAAATTACCCTTTTTATCCTTCTCCCTCTAATACCCCCTGTAAGCTGGAGTGTTCAAGTCTTGGACATCGAGCTTAGATACAAAAGTGTGAAACAAGGGAGAAGCTAAAGGCTTAGTAAAACCGTAAGCTATTTGGTTAATAGAGGACACGGACAACAGTTTAATCAAGCCTTAGACAATCTTTTCTCTCACGACATGGCAATCGATCTCGATGTGCTTAGTCCTCTCGTGGAACATGTGGTTCTCAGCTATTGCTATAGTAGATTTACTGTCGCCGAAGATGACGATAGGCTCAGTTGTGGTTACTTGTAGGTCTTGAAGAAGGGAGTTTAACCACTGTAACTCGCATGTTGTCATGGCTAAGGCTCGATATTCTGCCTCGGAAGAAGATTTGGAGACAATAGCCTCTTTCTTTGAGTGCCATGAGATAAGAGATGAGCCTAAAAAGGCACATAGACCAGTGACTGATTTGCTGGATTCTGAGCAAGACGCCCAGTCAGAGTCTGAGAAAGATTGAAGCTTGAGCTTATTGTTGGCTGGGTAGGATAGTCCCTGACCTGGAGAGCCCTTAATGTATCTTAATATGCGGTAAGCAACTGTCATGTGTTTGTCAGTGGGTGAACTTACAAACTGACTAAGGTGATGCACTGCAAATGTGATGTCTGGTCTAGTTGCCGTAAGGTATATTAGCCTCCCGATTAACCGTCGATAGCTGTTTGGATCAAGTAGAGGCAAACCATCAGTATGAGTTAAAAGAACTCTCGGTGTCATGGGCGTACGGACCGACTTGCAGTGTAAAAACCTTGCATCATCAAGGATCTCAAGTGCATACTTTCGCTGACAGAGATTTAGACCAGTGCTACTGATTTTGGCTTCAATTCCCAAAAAGTAACCAAGAATGCCCAAGTCCTTGATTTTGAAGGTTGTATGCAGTAAGTCTTTCAGTTCCTGGATGAGAGATAGCTTGCTGCTTACTACCAGAATATCATCGATGTAGACCAATAGGGCAATAAATTCTGAGCCATTACCTCTCGTGCACAATGAAGGATCTGCACTTGAGTGTTTGAAGCCAACTTGTAATAAAGCAGTTGTTAGCTTGCGTCAGCTCGCTTGTTTTAGACCATAGAGTGATCTTGTCAATTTGCACACTTGGTTCTGCTTATCTGTTTGAAATCTAGGAGGAAGAACCATATATACTTCTTCCTTGAGGTCACCATGCAAAATTGCATTGTTGATATCCAATTAATGGATGTTCCACCCTCTTGAAATAGACAAGGCCAAAAAGGTTCGGATAGTTGTCAAACGAGCTACTGGAGAGAAGGTTCCAACATATTCTACACCCAACTGTTCTGTGTACCCTTTGGCCACCAACCTTGCCTTATGTCTTTCGACGGTGCCATCTGCTTTTAACTTGGTTTTATAAACCCATTTGCATCCTATGGGTGTCTCGCCAGCTGGTAACTCTGTTAACTCCCAAGTATTGTTTTCCTAGAGTGCCAATATCTCTGCTTTCATGGCATCTTTCCAACATTGATGTTGGATAACTTGGTTGTAAGTTCAAGGCTCTACAACGGAAGTGACTGCCATGGTGAAAGTTTTATGCAAGGGAGAGTGACCATCGTATGAAATAACGTGACACAGAGTGTGGGGAGAAGATTTCTGTGTTACCACTGAATCACAATAATAATCACATAGCTTGTTTGGCACATGTCTTTCTCTAGTTGATCATCGAGGGGCCAAAGGGATGTCAATGTGTATCTGATCATCACCTGTGTGTGCCTCATGATCACATGATGACTGAGGGATAACTTCATCAGGAGGTGAGGCATTGGCTGAAGGTTCATGCAGTAGCTGACTGGCAGAAAGTTCAGCATGTGGTAAGTTGGCCAAATCGTGGTAGCCACTGTCATTGTTCCCCGACACGAATTGTTCATCATGCATCAAGGTAATATCATCATTTGGAAGCTGCCCTTCGAGTTCCAAGTGTGTGTTCAGAGGGATGTTTGGCAGTGGGAGATTAGATGAATGTGGTGCCTGCACAGTACTTGTAACACCCCGTGTTACGGCCTCTAACCCCGGACTAACTATTTAATTAATTCCGTTAATAATAATTAGAAAGGATTTAATTGGGCTAGGATTCCCTTTAATTAATTAATGTGGCCCACCATGGATCATGGACCCTTATCCTTAAGACCCAAACCCTTATAAGAAATAGGATAGGTGGATCCTTACTATTCGGACCCTAGTTGGGACTCCTAAATATATATATATAGGGACTTAAGAAGCATTTAGAGACCCTACCACATTTAATTCTACCACACAAGATATTCCCAGGAATCCCCCTGCCACCAAACGTAGGAGAACCCACGGGAAGAAGATCTTAGAGAAAGAACCTTAGTAGTCAAGGATATTGATTAAGGCTAAGAGGTAACCCATGTCTCAACAAAACCTATTTTCCTCACTATATCTTATTCATTGGCTCCTTTGATATATGATTCTGTGTTTAAGTCTTGATAGAGCTTTGCCTAGGGTTTATATTGTGTTTATGTGATAACCTTGGTGTTTATATGATAATCTTGATGTTGATGTGATAATCTTGGTGATCTTGATACTATGATTAATTATATGAACGATCTCGTATTATGATTATGTCTAAAGCCCTAGGGTTATAACGCGGATTTCGTATTATGTTATTCTTGGTATGTTTGGGTGGGATCTTGCATGATCGGGTGTTGAGTCTAGCCTAGGACTTGTGTTTAGGAATTTGCATATAGATTTCTTGATGTTCTTGTGATTCCAGATGTCCCTGGATCGTTATGTGATTTGTGTTGAGTCTTGGTATGTTTAGGAATCATGTTGGGGTGTATTTGGTGAGATTCTTGGTTTAATTCCGTTTATTGAATACGTGGTGTTGTCGTTATGTGTTTGAATGTATTAGGACATGGTTTCGGGTTCCACGAGGGATCCCGGGACCATAAAGTTGCCTATGTATCAGTGGGGGGACTGACCACCCGCCACCTACCCGCTGCCCGCAGTACTGTTCCAGCGGGCAGCCGGCGGGCGGTGGTCTGCCCGCCGGCCACCCGTTGGAATAGTAACCCGCCGCCGGCGGGTGGTCCTCCACCCGCCACCTACCCGCTTGAATCCAGGCGTTGTTCGTGGTGTTTTCCCCCGTTTGATGTTTCCCCGTGTCCCGTAGTGTCCCGTTGTACCCCGTTTGTCGTGCATGAGTCTCGTTTGGTGTTTTAGGCATCGTTCTAGGATTTTATGTGTGATACGTGTCGTTGTTTTTGTGTCTTGCTTGTTATGTGCTTATGTGTTGATTAATCGATGATAATTAGTATCGTGGTCATTGCGCAATGGCCAGTGTGACTGATGATGATAATGATATTGATGAGATTGTGATTGGTGGAAAATAAACTGTTGGCGGCTGGCACCACTTGTGCCTAGGCATTATACTAAAGGTACAGACCATAGCGGTGACTGTGCTAAAGGCACACACCCACCTTCGACTAGCTTGCCGTTGAGTATTGGGTCAGGTTATAAGTGCTGCGGTGTCATGTTAGAGCTATATGCGCTAACTCCTTGATATTGGCACTAGAGGTGCGGATTATTGAATGGCACTGCGGCACCATCTTGATATGTTGGTGGTTGAAAGGTGGGTTCATCGGTGGGGGCATGTAGTTGCCCGGAGGCATAAGGGGTGGGGATATAAGGGTGGCCTGGAGGTATAGGTTGGAACTGATATAAGGACGGAGGGGAGTTATACGGTTGTAACTTGGTATAAGGTTGGATGATGATTTCTATGCCTTGTTGACTACTTGCTAATTGTTTGTATGGAATGCCTTAGTTGCCTCTACTCATTACTTGCATGATTATCTGTCTGTTATGCCTTGCATTGCATGTTTAGCACACATATTAGTTCTTATGATTGTTCTATGATATTGAGTCTGTTAATATGCCTTGAGTCTTGATCTTGGATTTAAACTAGAGTCGCATAAGTATATATGTATTCCAGTTTCAAAATGAGTTTCTTATATCTACCTATATATTGTACTTAACGCGTTGGAGTGGGTTACCAGCATTATTTGCTGACGGTTGTTACACCGAATGTTTTTCAGGTGATGAGCATTAGCTTCGGAGCGCGCTAGTCAGAGCCTTGGACCTAGCTTAGCTAGTCTTAGTTCAGTAGTTAGCCTGCGTGCATTGGGATTGTATTGAATATCGGTTTGAGGATTTCTTATGCTTGGTTAGTTTAGCTTGTGCACCTAGGTTCTCCAACCTAAGTGTGACATAACACCCCGACACTTACGGATAGCTGTATGCCCTGTTTGGGGTTTAATCAATGAATTCGCCTTTATTTTATAAGTTTTAAACACCTTGAAATTTAGGGGTGGTACAGTTGGTATGAGCTTGAACTCTAGGTAACTTCATACTGGGGATGTTAAGAGTTAGACTCTAAGAATCTAAAGCTACGCCTAAGATAGTACTCTAAGTTTGAGACCTTAAGATGCTTAGCCATAACTCTAGGTGTTTAATTACTTAGGACTTAGGAGTCTTAGGACGCGCAGTGAGGCTGTGAGTTTATCTATCATTGTCTGCCTAACTTCTCCTCACTCTATCATGTGCTTAGTTTAAAGATTCCCAATACTTATAGCATTGAGGTAACAATGCGAACCCCTAACTTACCATTACAATCAACATTGGCCCTGTAGACCACCAGAATGGCGCCGACAAGAAGTCAGTCAAGGACCCCTGAACCCTCCGCTCATGAATCACTTGTTGAGAATCTACAACAACTAACTCAGGTCGCCCAGACGCTAAGCGACGCTGTCCTCCATAACAACAACCGACCACCACCACCACCAAACGGAAACTCAGATGTAGCTCACCAAGTCTCGAACCACCGCCCGCCTATCTTCTTAGGAGAAGAGGACCCCACAATCCTCGAAGAATGGATCCGAACCTTCGACAAGATCTTCGAGGTAGTAGAGTGCCCGGAGGGACGCCGGGTAGAAGTAGCCTCATTCTACTTCGGACACGAAGTCGATCTTTGGTGGGTCCACGAAAGACCTGCTTGTAGGTAAGAACCAGGATTCAACTGGGAGTCCCTAAAAGTGCGACTACGGGGACGGTTTTACCCCGCACACATAAGGGCAGCCATGTATGAAGAATTCCTCCACCTGAAACAGGGGATGGCCACGGTCATGGAATACCACAAACGATTTCTCGAGCTAGCTCGTTTCGCGCCCAAGTTGGTGCCTACAGAAACAACCAAGATAGAGAAATTTGTGACAGGCCTTAACTTCGAGGCCCGAAAGGCTCTAATTGTAAGCAAACCCCGAACCCTTAACGAGGCTTACAATAGCGCCGCCGACCTCTTCCGGATCCAACTCCTGCAACGAGGAGTTCAGGAACAGATCCGCAAAAGGAATACCGAAAGCGGGGGACCGCCTGTGAAAAAAAGCAAGGAACGACTCTAACACAAGGACGGTCAACCCACCTAACCAAGGATCGTCTCTAAGGAACAACGAAGCCAACGCAAGACCATTCCTTTGTCGAAGATGCGATAAGGATCATAGGGCAAGGACTGCTTTGGGAACACCTTACGGTGCTTCAACTGCGGGGGAGAAGGACACAAGGCCTTCCAGTGCACTCGACCTCTGAGCACAAATCCTACGGTCATGGGCCAACAAGGGAGCGCGAATAACCGAGGGAATTACGGGGCTCCCGGGAAAGTATTCGTCATTAGCCACATCTAGGCCGACCTTGAAACCGAAGCCAACATCAACGCAGAAAACGTGGCCCTAGGAGACGAGGATCCCACGAATCAACCGGGGGAAAATCCGGAAGAGGAATTCTGCTTAGGATAAAGCTGCGGACCCTTGTAAACAACCCCTTTAGTAGAATCGCTTATTTAGCTCGGTTACTTGGAAACTGATAAACATTATTTTTAGTGTTATTTCTAATGATATTTTTATAGTTAACTTTCAATAATTGATTAATTTTATATCTATTTTATTTATTATTTTGATTAAATAACTTTGTTAATATTATTCATTTTTAGGTTGTTTTTATTAATTTTATTTTATTATTTGAATTCTATCAGTCTAATAATTCCTTGGTCCTAATTTAATAATAATAATAATAGTCTTAGTAGTATAATAGGAGTTTTAATAAATATAGACTAATTATAATTGATTTCTAATTTATTTAAGTTAAAGAATAATTACTTTGAGTCTCGGTTGAAGCTCTTTGTGCGGCGATTCAACCGAAGCCGTCAACAACACTGCGAGAGAAGAGGTTCTTCATCGACTATGGCTAGAGATTCAGAACAAAAATTACGGTGGAGTTTAGTTAAGGAAGCAGTATAAATGGAAGGCTTTTGTGAAGAAGATGAATCATCAATTTTTACTCCGGACCAATTCCTGTCGGAAGTATTTTTCCCGGTGATCGACGGCAACGAATTCTGTAGCCGTAGTGTTCGGCGTTGGGGAAACAATTTGGGCGACAATTTCCGGCTATGCAGTCCTTCTCTGGTGTTCGACAATTCAATAGAGTTATCCTTTGGCAAATTAAGTAGTTCAAATTCTCTGCAGCAATACAATTAATTACGGCAATTCTCTTTGTTCCCTTTTCTTCATTATTTAATATTGTCAAAATTATATCATAATTATTCTTTGGAAAAAGCAATGTTGTGTAAGCTACTTGCTGGTGTTTTCTTTATGATTTGCTAAATAATCTTTTTAGGAATAGGATAATTTTCATGAAAGTCTCATAATGTTAATTATCATTATTAGTGCATAAGTTTTATGTTAATTGCATTGCTTAATCCTAATCTTTAGTTGGTTGAGTTCCTGATAATTTACTTGTTCACCTTCTTACGTTTTGATTCAATTATTCATTCGTTTTTAGCTTCATGATTTTAATTACTTTGGATT